CATCTACGTGTCGGCCGCCATGGGCCGCATGACCACCACCATCTCCTACTCGGTTCCGGGATTCACCGAGTTCCTCTCCCCCATCAAGACGGCCCGTCTTAGGCGGGACCGGGCCCAGGACGCCCGACTCATTGAGACCATCCTCCAAGAGGGGCGGTACCTGGTGATGTGCCCGGAGGGGACCACATGCCGCGAGCCGTACCTCCTCCGGTTCTCGTCCCTCTTTGCAGAGCTCACTGACGAGATCGTGCCCGTGGCAATCAGGGTGAGGACGAGCCTTTTCCACGGGACCACGGCCCGAGGGTACAAGTGGCTCGACCCATTCTTCTTCTTCATGAACCCGGTGCCCAGGTATGAGGTGACCTTCTTAGAGAAGCTGCCCAGGGAGGAGACGTGCGTGGCAGGGAAGTCGAGCTACGAGGTGGCCAACAATGTCCAGCACAAGATTGCCAAGACTTTGAACTACAAATGCACCAAACTTACAAGGAAGGATAAGTATAGGGCACTGGCGGGGACTGACGGGATCGTGGGACAGACGCCGGCTAAACCGACAGCAAAGGTTGCAGGGTGACCATTGGGATTTGAGATGGTCGTGTGTGTGCAATGCAGTGTGAGTTTTTTCAGTTTTCTTGAGTTCATTATATCCTCAATAGACATCAAGTTGGTGGCTTTGTTGTTAGATGTGGAGTTTGAGTAAGAATGGTGATGAAGTGATCAGGGTCAAATTAGGATGTTGTTTGGAAATAAAAGGACGCCGGAGGTGTTTGAATTGCTCAAATATATATTTATTTATCTAAAATATTTGAGACTTCAAATTTGTTACGCGACTACGTGAGTATGCTTTTGAAGAAAATTGCACTTTTGGTTGATTTTATGATGGACTAATCCAAGAGCAACGGAAGCAAATTCGTAAAGTAAATGTTTAACGGGAGGAACCCCCATTTTCATCCTCAATCAAAAATATTAATCTCTAGTTCAAGAATTCAAAACACGTATTACAGTTCACAGTATTTGGACCGGTCCCGGCGGCTGGACCGGGTCTTCAATACAAGTGCAAGGGAAGCAAATTCATAGAGTTAATGTTTTTTTTTTTTTTTTAACATCAGCTTTATTGATTTTTTTTTTTCTTAACATCATGAAGGATGGAGGATTAAGGAAGGATTCCCATATGTAGTCAAACCCTAAATGAGCCAAGGTGTACAAGGTTTATACAAGTCCAAACAAATACATTAAACGAAAACGAAACAAGACAATCAACCCAAAAGGGTCGTCTGAATTTGGGTTGGAGGGTGCTTAAGCGAGTAGTCTGACCCACAAAAGGATCTGTAGTACCAGAACAAGACACAAACTAAAAAATAAAAATAAAAACTAACAACTAAAAGGCTACCTGAATCTGAAACAAGGATACCCGTCCTGATCCATCTGTACAAAGGTGCGTAGGCGAAGCA